GCAGACGCCCGTGTCCCTGCGCCAGGACTGGCGCGTCAGCTGCTGGGCTCGTGTCCTGCTTTGGCGCCCTGGGGTTTGCTGCCCAGCAGGGGGCGCCCTGCCCTGGCTTTTCCTCCTGCCAGACTCAGTGCCTGGGCTTGGAGGAAACCGGTTCCCCCCACTGCTTCCTCGTTTGGCCAGAGGTAGCGTCAGCGTGAGGGGTGCTGGCTCTCCCACTGCCAAAGAGTCCGCCCAGGCTGCCCTTAGAATCTTTTCCAATACCCCATCTCACTTGGTCCTCCCCCAGCAGGGGGCGCCCTGCCCTGGCTTTTCCTCCTGCCAGACTCAGTGCCTGGGCTTGGAGGAAACCGGTTCCCCCCACTGCTTCCTCGTTTGGCCAGAGGTAGCGTCAGCGTGAGGGGTGCTGGCTCTCCCACTGCCAAAGAGTCCGCCCAGGCTGCCCTTAGAATCTTTTCCAATACCCCATCTCACTTGGTCCTCCCGTTTTGTTATGGGATCATAGCACTGCATGAGTGCTGTTAATTTTATTAAACAGGCATTAAGATTTCAGCACTCATTAAGTCCCGGGAACAGTAAGTTAGTGGCAAAGATTTCTCCGGATTCCTGAGGAAGGGGTGTACATCCCCCCCCCCAAAAAAAATTTTTTCCCAACATCCCATCAGTTGTCAACTGCTGTGTTGCCCAAGCAATAAATTTTGGCTGGCGTTTTTTGAATGCTGGGATAATGAAATGTTATCCTCAATTGTATGAGTCAAAGGCAGCAGAACTGTTTTTAGCCTGACTTGTCTTCACTACAAGATAAGATTGAATGGGCAGCGTCCACTGGCTCTCTTGAGATCTTCGGGGGGCAGTGGGCGCTGTCCGGTATCCCCATCCGGTTCCCTCGTTTTAACCCTTTGACCCTCACACCTGTACCTGTTTTTTCATTATTTGTCCCCCGTAATTAGTTGGAAATTAAAAAAAAAAATGATTGAATTTATTAAGGTTGATTTTTAGCACCTCATTTTGTAAAGTCGAAGGTGCATGTACCCACTGAGCGCAAGAGTTAGACACAGTGTGTCCCCAGTAGAGTGACAGCTGTTCACTGTAGGGAGCTATCCCACAGATCCTGTTGCCCCTTAGCATTCTAGATTATGCTCCCAGTGCCTGGTGGAATCAAAGCAGTGCAGACAGTGGTTCTGGGTACATGTCCGGATCCCATAATGCACTCTTCTTCCTCCCCCTCTGCTTAAAAGCAACTCTAAACAATCTTTTCACATCCTTTTCCCCTGGTTATCCATGCACACGCTATAGTACCAGGTGCCATAGCAGGGTAAGCATCGAACCCAGCATGGAACCCGTTCAGCAGCAAAGTTCTATAGCAATCACAGCAAACATCTTCCACCTTATGCTGCAGTATGTCCAGCATCTATCCAGGGCCCTTTGGAATGAGGAATCTGAGGAGGCCATGACCATATTCTTCTGTGAAGCACTTGAGATAAGCGATTGACAGATGATGGTGGCATTCGATGCTCTTGACACAACGGAACACCAGTTTCTGTGCCATTAAACAAGCACAGACTGTAGCAACTGCAGAGTTATGCAGCTACGGGACAATCAGCAATAGCAGCAAAACTTTTGCATACATAAGGCCACTTTTAGGTAAGCTTGCTAATTGCTTCCCCTTCCCCCACCCTGTGAAGTGTAGCAATACCAGAATGACACCCACTCTGACAATTCAGAAGCAAGTGGCAATAGCTCGGTAGAAACTTGCAATGCCAAACAGCTACCAGTCAGCTGGGAATTGAGTGGGTAAATCTACAGTGTGGGTTAGGGTGATCCAGGTAGCCAAGGCAATCAATACCAGCAGGAGGAGCCAGACCAAAGGTTTTGTGCAGCAGACTCACTGTTATGCTTGTTATAATGAAAAGTGAAGGGCAAATTTTATAGGAGATACATTGTGGAGCATAGAATCTAATCTTTTTAACACACAGGGTTGTATGTTCAAGACAATAGGCATGTGCTATGTACTAGACCAAAGTTATGCTTTTAAGTGCCCACTATGCAGCAGGTACACCACAGAAATTTGGGAGCAGCTATACTCAGTTTGGTGGCAGGAATGGTAAGGGACAAGTTGGGGCTCACTCTTGTGCTTCCACTTCAAAAACATGTGCTACACAGTGCTTGCAGATAGCAGCTCCCACGGTTAGGCAAGTGTTTGCTTTTGCAAAGGGGAGCCACGGAGGTGTGGCAGCAGGGCAGGGGCTCACACAGTGAGTGTGTGTCTGGCACCCCGTTTGCTGGAATAGTGCAACTTTCCCTTCCTGCAGAAGCTTGCAGAGGGGAGGGGGAAAAGGAGGCCGGGCACGGTGACATGACAGGGGCTCACATGGACACAGAGGAGCCTGGAGGGAGTAGTGGGACTGTGTGTGGCAGCAAGGTAGGGGTTTAAGCCATGCTCTGTTGGGAATGAGAAAAATGGAGGTGTACAGCTGTGGTATCAGTTACATAGCTTCCCATGCTTCATCCAGCTTGCCATGTGTGGTATCAGTTAGGGATGTTAGATAGTGTGTAACTGAATAGTTGTGTAACCACATCAATTTTTAGTGGCTACACAATTATTTGATGGTCCCCAGAGGGGGGGGGGGGGCAGCAGCAAGGTGGACAGACTGTATGAGGCAGCACAGGGGAGGGGAAGGGCAAACTGGTCTTACAGAACCAGCATGTGAAGAGAGGTGGCTTAAAAGCTGGCTCCTCACGTGTACTGGCTCCTGCCTGTTCCCCTCATCCTCCACACTGCTGCCTCTCTATCAGAGGCAGCAGCACGGGTGGGGGCTCCAGATCCCCAATCCCTCCCTGACTGCCTCTGATATAGAGGTAGCAAGTGGGAGGAATGCATGTAGTCAACAAAATTAACCAATAAGCCCTGGTTTATTGGTTAATCGTGTAGTTGTCTACGCGTTGACATCCCTACTATCAGTCTTCTCCGTGTAGCGCCCTCTCCACCCAATTACCTTCTTTAATTCCAATCTGCCTACAGGTTTCGGTGGACAGGTCTGGGTTCTTCTAGATCCCGCCACCCACTCAGCAGGGTGTATCTTCTTTATTTTTTCCTATGAATGTATTTGGTGGTGCGTCCGCCCCCCTCACTCCTTCCTGGCAGGGTCACCAGGGCAGTTTGGGAGGAAAATTCTAACCACAGGGTAATCCCCACTTACTTGCCAGATAGTTGGAGACTTCAAAAAATAACACAAACACATACAATATATTCAACACAATAATTATATGAAACAGGAAACAATTATCACATAACAGGGTAAAACACTATTTTTAGGTTCACCGGTGCCCACGCTGCTAATACCTGTGACTTTCCCCAGTCATGTGACTTGATGTAGCAAATGTAAGATTAGTGTCCTATTAGTACGCATACTTTGTTGGGGCCCTTGATGACCTATGACCACAAAATTCTTCTCTGCAGTGGTTTAGCAGTGTGGCTGACTGGGTTCAGTACAGCCCAAAGGACTCACAAGCGGGAGAAGGTAAATCCCTCCACAGGTTTAATATGCGGCAGGTTATAAAATCCCCAAACCCTTATTCCCTGGCTTGAGGACACAGTTCAGGGAGTAGGGGGTCCCCAAAACAAATTTCCTGACTAACTAATAGATGGTGCACTCACAAACTCCATGAATGATCCTCCGGTTCAGAGATGAGACTGGACTCCTCAGTCACTGCAGAGGGATCCTATTCAGGCAGGAATCAGGCTGCTTCAGTCCCAGGATTTCCTCTCACCACAAAGAGGTGCTGGGCTCAAGGTGCACCAGGGAAAAAGCTGACCATGTGCTGACTGGTCTCACCTAGGGAGCTGGAGGGCTAACTCAGCCTCGCTGAGGAAGTTTCCCAGTAAACTCTACAAACTGGGAATAATCAGTGGAGAAGGAAAACCCAGCTAAGGGATCTTGAAAAGCATGAAAAGCAGAAGTGCTAAAATTGACTTTAGTGACTTTTAAAGTCAATGGAATAGGCGTGGAGATGTGGTGTGTAGAAAGTCAACCTAATGTGGCTAAAGCGGCGAGGAGTCCTGTGGCACCTTATAGACTAACTGAAGTGTTGGAGCAAAAGCTTTCGTGGGCAAAGACCCACTTCGTCAGATGCATGGCCAAGTGGGTCTTTTCCCACGAAAGCTTATGCTCCAACACTTCAGTTAGTCTATAAGGTGCCACAGGACTCCT